GTACACACACACACACACACACACACACACACACACATCACATTTCACATTTGTGACGCTGGAGCACAAAAGCAGTCTTAATCGCTGGGGTATATTTGTAGCAATAGCCAAAAATACATTGTATGGGTCAAAATTAGATGATTTTCTCAATATTTAGATTTTTTTGCACCCTCAGATTCCAGATTTTCAAATAGTTGTATCTCGACCAAATATTGTCCGATCATAACAAACCATACATCAATGGAAAGCTTATTTATTCAGCTTTCAGATGATATATAAATCTCAATTTCGAGAAATTGGCCCTTATGACTGGTTTTGTGGTCCAGGGTCACATTTGTGTTTTTAAATATTCCTGCTGAATGACTAGCTGTAAATGACTACAATGGATCCTCACCAGCTTTAGCATAGCCTGTGCCATCAAAATAAGTTCCTTTTTCTGGGTTGGCGAAGCAGGAGCCCACGCGGTAGCTGGATGTGGGTTTCTCCATGTCCAGCAGCAGATTCATCATCTTGAAGTTCCTAATGCAGGCATCGATACTGTACAGCACCTACAAAAGCACAGGCAACATCAGACGGTGGCCTCAAAGGGTGTTTTGACTCTAATGAATGTGTGTGTGGTTGTGTTCTCACTGGACCGATGCGTTTGGTGGTGTAGTTGAGCGGTAAACCTCCCACATACAACATTCCCACCACATCCAGAATATCAGCTTTCTTTGGGCTGGTGGTGTGTTTGGAGTAACGGCCGTCAATCACGAGAAAACCTCTCTGCTTCTCTCTCGTCACACGGATCTATACGCAGAAGGAGAAGAAATCAACACTTGCTTGCTTTTAATACTCTGACCTTCACACACACCAAGTTCAAAAGTTTGTAAGAGGTCTGTAAGATTTTATTAACGTTTCTGAAAAAAAAAAAAAGTCTCTTCTGCTCACCAAGGCTGCATTTATTCGATCAAAAATACAGTTAAAACAGTAATATTGTGAAATATTATTACAGTTTTCTTTCAGCATCATTACTCCAGTCTTCAGAGTCACATGATCTTCCGAAATCATTCTAATATTCTGATTTGCTGCTCAAGAAACATTTCTGATTATTATCAATGTTGAAAACAGTCGTGCTGCACAATATTTTTGTGGAAACTGGGATTCACAGATGAATAGAAAGTTCAAAAGAACAGCATTTATTTGAAATAGAAATCTTTTGTATCATTATAAATGTCTTAAGAGTCACTTTTGATCAATTGAATGCGTCCTTGATGAATAGAAGTATTCATTTATGTCATAAATAAATAAATGGTAGTTCAGTGACACGGCATGCTTGGTACTTGTAATGCACTGGATAAACATGCATCAATTATGTTTCCGGCCTAATTACGACCCATGGATCTTTTCCATGATCCAGGTCATCGTAGAATATGAGACAAAATATTATTCAAAAGCACCGTCTTGTATCTGGATGAGCTGTGTGCTGTGAATCAGGTCAGGCAGGGAAAGTGTGTCATGCATCAGGGGTCAAAGGCCAGACGCTCTGACCTTGTGCCACTGCCCGTCGTTGATGATGCGCGGCACGCTGACGGAGGTGTTGCCACTGCCCAGATCGTAGCTCAGGTGAGCCATTCCCTCCTTCAGCTGGATGGTGGCGAAGTCAGCGTGGTTTATCCTGGCCATGTAGAACACCAGCCCAGAGTCTGCTTCTGTGCGTATCTCGAACTCAATGATCAGCCTGAGGAGCAGACACACACGCATGAGGATGATGACGAGGATGAGGATGAGAAAGACGATGATAACTGACACTCACCTGTTCTTCACCTTTCTGTCATCAAACTCAAAGGCCATGTGACTGTTTCTGGAGAGACCGAACTGTTTGGCCAGTTCCAGCACGACAGGCTCCGCCTCTGCTGCGCACGACACCTGCGTGATTGGACAGAGCAGATGTCAATCAAACGTTACATATTACAGAATTCAGTAACACTTTACAGTATATAGTAATAAAGTACTTATAAATCATTTGCTAACTAGTTAATCCATAGTTTAGCAACTGTAGTCTCTACACTGTTAATACATTAATATTCCATATAGTATACAGTTCATCAATTGTCACTGTAATATACAAATTATTATTGGTTAATTAGCTAACATGTAAAGAGTTAGATCATATTTCTTTTTTTATCAGAAACCTTACTGATGTACTTCAACAAATGTGATCTCAACAACTCTACAGATGTGGAAATGTTTATAATGAATTAAGTGTTAATGCAAATTCTGACCCACCAAAACATTTAACTCGAGATGGCAAAAGAGATGTCTCTACTAAAAGCACTAAACAGCAAGTACCACAGCATGAGTTCTGAAGTGCTGTTTTACAAAATACAGGCAGTAGATGGAGCCAGAGAACAGCTGATGGAGCTGCACTCAGTAATAGCATCAGCATTCAGTTCTCAAGTGAGAATAAAGAGCTTGTTGAACAAAGAAACATACTGTGGCTCCTCCAAAAACGAAGCTGCAGAAACAGCGCAAGCAGCATAAAGCAGATGAAAGCTCACTAAATGTGCTAAATGTGCGTCTGAATGGAGGAACTGCAATATTCACACTATCTCTGATGTCTGTGGGTGTGTGTGTGTGTGTGAGAGCAGGTTAATACCGCGACTTCTTTGACACTGGTGGGCGTGTCTGGGATGGGCGTGGCCTCTGTGAGGGGCGTGGCCTGAGAGCAGCAGAGTGACAGCAGCAGTGAGAGACATCATGAAGACAGAAGAGCTCAGGTGAAGCCAGTCATTATTACAGCATCAAAGCATTATGGTGCATTAAACAGAAAAGAAACATGGTTTCCCCCGATTTGTGTCAAATTGTTAAAAATGATGTATACAAATGTTGTACTAATAATATTGTATTATAATAATGTAATTGTCAATGTTATTATTTTTGTTTTGTCACAAACCACATCGTTGACTAATGAAATTCCACAGATGTGTGACTGTCAGAAATTCTTCTTCCTGTCATTTCAGTTCAACATCTGACCAATTCAGATTCACATTCATGAATTTAAAAGAGCGTCAGTTCTGAAATTCTGAATGCTGATAGACAGCATGTGTACTGAACACACACACACACACACACACACACACAGGTTTGTTTTTGTGAATTGTGGGGACATTCCATAGGCGTAATGGTTTTTATACTGTACAAACTGTATTTTCTATTGCCCTACACCAACCCTACACCTAAACCTACCCCTCACAGGAAGGAATGTGCATTTTTACTTTCTCAAAAAAACTCACTCTGTATGATTTATAAGCGTTTTGAAAAATGGGGACATGATTGTGGGGACATTCCATAGGCGTAATGGTTTTTATACTGTACAAACTGTATTTTCTATTGCCCTACACCAACCCTACACCTAAACCTACCCCTCACAGGAAACTTTGTGCATTTTTACTTTCTCAAAAAAACTCACTCTGTATGATTTATAAATGTTTTGAAAAATGGGGACATGGGGCAATGTCCTCATAAATCACCTTCTCGTTGTAATGCCTATGTCATTATACAAATTTGTGTCCTCATGTGTCACAAAAATGCGCACGCACACACACACACACACACACACACACACATACAATTCTATACAGTATCGTATATCACGAGCAGGGTAATATATCTCTCACACACACCTTGTGTGCCAGTGTTTACACACACACACACACACACACACACACTCCTGATGTGTCCGATCATACTTATTTTCTGGCCAAATTATATTTTACATATATGCTAAATGTACTGTATGTTCAGTACAAGCTCAATGAAATATATTTTTAACCTTCATATACTAAAAGGTATTTCAAAATTTATTTCAGAGGCACGAAAGTACATTTCAATATTTTCAGATGTGTTACTTGTTATTATGTGTTATAGACACGTGTTATAGACAACAAATAAAGTTTTTCTTTAAATGTGACATGTAAACATTTTCTCAGATTGAAGGGGGAAATATATTTTTAAATGCTTTTAAAATATATATATATTTATATTTTTGTTAATTTATTTTCAAAATATATACAAAAGATGGTTGAAAATATATTGGTAGAAAATATATTTACATAAAACATTCTGAAACATATTTTAGCAAATATATACATAGTTTTGGCCATTTTTATTTAATATTTTGAAATACATTTAAAATCTAATTAAAAATACATTATTTTGCCGAAAAGAAAATGCACAACGCAGTTTCATGTATAGTAGTGAACGGCTCACTGCATCTACTTTACCCAAACAAACATGTAAAACCTTTGAAGAATTACACAAAAGTTTGTGCGCATTCATCCCTGCTGGGATTGCAAAGCTACTGCTCGTCAGAGGCAAATAATGGTGCAAACTATTTAGACGGACATATCGGTCCAACAAAGCATAAAACATTAGCCAAAGCAGTGAGTGAACAAAATTAACTAAATGAAACACTTTACAATAATGCCTTTATAATTAGACTAATATTAGTTAATGCATTAGGTATCAAGAACTGACAATGTTTAATTTATACATGAGCTAATACATTTTTAACATTTAATATTAAGTTGTATAAATTGTACATTTATACATAGATTCATGATTCCTAATGCATTAAATAACACATTATTTAATGCTAATAATTTCAGTTTTACCATTAGAATTGTTCGCTTTTTTTTTTGAAAAGCACAATATACTATAAGTGCCTTATTTAACTCATTAGAATTAATGAAGTGAATGAAGCACCTGTGAGAGTCAAACATAATGAATGAGAAAGAATCAATAGACAGTGGCTGCCCGAGAGACTGACTAACATGCAGAAAAGTCTGGACTTAGCCATCACCAGCAGACCCCAGACTTTGTAAGTATGGGAACTGGGATGCGGTCAGTCTTAAACTACAGGAATCACACAGGACTCTCTACCCACAATGCATTTGTTAGGACGTACAGTGGAGGCTGGTGGTGGAGGCCGAGCTGCTTCTGTAGGGATGAGCGCTGGTTTGGCTGGAGCCTCTTCCTCTTCGTCCTCCTCCTCCTCCTCCTCAGGGGTCTCGGGCGGGGGTGGAGGCGGGGCCAGGTCAGGACACTGCCCAATCTCTGCGTTCTCAAAGGCCACGGGCTGAGAGAAATCCATGGGCCTGTTTCATTGACAGAAACGAGACACAACACACAGCCGCTCTTGAGGGAACGATGACACAACATGACTCCAATCAGGTGAATAATGAACACGCTTATGAGCAAGGACAGACTCATTTAAATGAGTCTGGTAGAGGGCAATGGGGTTCGCTCTAGTGGAAAAGACGCACAGCCCACTGGCAGAGATTCATACTCCTCATTAGAGCAAGACAAACTGTGATTATTAATGTCATAAAGCGTTTAGGTTATGACTGCACCTCAAAACTGCACTGGAAGGAAAACAAGACCTTTAATCTACAGCCACGGGAGGCTGGAAAAAATGGGTCAATGTTTACACCAGTCGCTGGTGTGTACGAGTCACTATAGCACAGTCTAGTCGTGACATATTGCGGTGAATTGTGCTCTGGAGGTCGGTACATTTATCATGGGCTGTTAAAGGTGACCTCGAAAAGCTTGGAAGGCTTGCTAACGTCTTTGCCTTGCTATTATCTGAATAACAGAAAGCTGTGACGTGCCAACATTACTGATAAGTCTGGTGCTAAGACAGAACAACAAACTAGTTTTACCAAACAAAAGGAACGCCAAACTAATGCCTGAATTTACACATCTCGGCTTTTGAAACCATTTTGTCATTCTATATCTAACACCTAAAAATAAAGGCTCTCATTACAACCAAAAATGGGTTTAAAGTCTGATGCCATTGAATCCTGAGCAACTGATGGGGCACACAAAACCAGCCCAACTGCTAATCAAAACAAGCCCAAAACTAGCCCAGTTATATTATTTTCTGCGACTATCCCCTCCATCGAAATCACATTCCAGAGTAAAAAACCACAGACCTGGCAACACTGATGAGGCAGTTATTAGGAACTGTAGCAATATGTTGTTTAAAGTTATAGTTCACCCAAAAATGAAAATGCAAACCTATATGACTCACTTTCTTCTGTGGAACACAAAGAAAGATATTTTAAAGAATGTTTCAACAACAAAAAACACTGTATGGCCAAAAAATATCAAAGTATCTCATCATATGTACATGTTTCATTTTGGGTGAATTGTTTCTTCTCTTAACGTTCCTCAATAGAAAAGTCACCTTCATTAGTTTATCTTATCACCTTCATTAGTTTTTATCTTTTTCACTAAACTATTAAGCATTAACTTGCATCAAGCCATTCAAAGTTGTGTAAAGTGTGTAATATTGACAGCTAGTGGCTGAAATGGGTACTGCAGTTCATATGCAAAATATTGTTCCTCTTCAGACTCAACGCTCATGCGGGTTGCCAGATTGGGGACACCCAACAGGAACCAGCGCAATTGACAATGGAAGATGCCAAGCCTTGCACTGTAAGCTGATGAGTTGATTTTTCCGCGTTTTAATGTCTTTAGTTACAGAGTTTTTTTTCGATGGATGCCAAGGCTTTTTAGGTCGGGTAGAATCTGTGATCTCTGACCCAGTTTATATGTTCACTTCCAAGGCTACAATACACTGTCTTTTTCATCAACTGGCAACCCGGGGTGTCAAAATACTATTGGGTAAACTGGCAGAGGGCGGAGTCAGACAGACCAAAACATTAACAGACAAAATTACATATAGCACCTTTAACTCGACCAAAAACATGCATTTTTAATAGAGATGTGAGGTCAGGATGGATGGATGATGAGTTTGGACATACACTGTGTTGATGAGAAGGTTCCAGATGCAGCCCTCAAACGGCACGTTGGGCCGCTGTACACCTGTTTCTATGTCTGCCGGGATGCCTCCGATGAAGAGCCGATGGATGCTCAGAGGATGATCGTTGGGTAATGGCTGCTGGAAGAGTGGTTCTTCATCCACCTGCACAGTGAATAATCTGCACACGCACATGCTCCATTAGTTTCAAAGAGGCTTGAAAAACATGACGAGAGAAAGAGAAAGAGAGAGAGAGAGAGAGAGAGAGAGAGAGGGGGGTCTTACGCTCCCGCGAGTCTCTGGATGCGCAGTGAGTGCTCTCTCCCATCATGCAGTATTCCCTTATCCGCTTTTCTGAAAGCTCTGCGTGGACTCTTGCTGCCTGTGAACACCAGCACCTCCAGAGCCCCTTTATTCAGCTGCACAGACAGGAAGGGCTGCAGACACACAGACAGATGGGATGAGGCTTAGACCGTGACCTTGTGTAATAAAAGATCAGTGGAAATCACTATTACTAATCACTTTTGTTACTAGTCACTATTGTACGCAGTGTTAGCGATCTAAACAATCCCACAACTCAAACTAATGAACGTCCATGTTTAATGAATCTGGCATCTGGTTTGTGCTCCAGACATGAATCATTTTCTTCAATTCATGTGTCGCACTGTCAGCAATGCCCTAGCAACCAACAGAATACTTTAGCAACACCATATAACAAACTACCTACTACATACCAACATGATAAAAAACACCCGTCAAAACATTATAGCAATCATATAGCAACAACCTAGCAACCAGATATAACACCCTAGCAACCACTCACAACAAAACACTCACTGCACACCACCATGATAAAAAAAACACTCAGAACACTACAGCAACTGCATAGCAACACCACAGCAACCAGCTAGAGCCAGTGTCGGCTCGTCAGGGGAGGCACAGCCTACGCAAAATTTTGAGGTGTAAAAATAGTAATAGTAGCTTACAATTTAATGTTAATGAAATCTCCAAATAATATTTAATGTCTTCATAATGTGTATTTCTTAATTGTAATTTCACCATTGCAAACAATAAAATATTACTTAAGTTGGAATCCCCTGTGTTTTACCGCTGCTGTATTCCCCGTGAACGAGACGTTGTGGATAGAGAAGGGGAGGGGGGAAGCACAATCCAAAAATGGAGATTCTGGCTTCCGTTGATAAAAAATTAACCAATCAGCATCGAGTATTTCTACATGTCAGCAGAGTGGCTCTATTTCTTAATGGCTTACAAAATTTACAGAGGAGGCTAGCCTCCCTTGGTTTATCAACCAATCACCGTTGAGACATCAATGACGTTGTAATATGCTTGAACGACTCTGTGGCGCCTATAATGTAGTAAATATGGAGGGACGAGATATTGAATATTTTATCACAAATACATTTACAAAGCTCCCTTTTGAGCAGCAGCTAAAAATAAAAAATGAAGGAAGACCCACGCCTAATCTGGACATAAAACAATCTTCATTATGCGGCCGAACGCGCTGTTTTAGAAACGAATTATTTAGCAAAACCGAGTGGCTAACAGGCTCAGTGAACTTGAACAAACTCTTCTGCTGGCCTTGTCTGCTATTTGACGAATCAACTGGAGGATTCATCAATCCATGGATTACGACTGGTTTCAACGATATGAAGAATTTAGCAAGAGCTATGGAAAGACATGCAAAGTCTCGGAGCCACATATCTTCCGCTCTTAAGCTGAAGTTGTTCAGGCGGGTAAGAATCGATGAGGCACTCAGCCAGGCCGCTGCAATTGGGGTACTGCGGCATAACGAGCAGGTGGCGAAAAACCGTGATCTTTTGCGCAAACTGATCATTGCGGTTCTATATTTGGGCCAACAAGAACACGCATTTCGTGGTCACGATGAGTCTGCTACAAGTAAAAACAAAGGGAATTTTGTACAACTTCTAGAAACCTTTTCAGAGTTTGACCCAGCACTTGCAGAGCATCTGAAAACATCCACCATTTTCAAAGGTACTTCAAAATCAATTCAAAATGACATAATTGACAGTATAGCCACTGTTGTAAATAATGAAATAGATCAAGAAATCAGTCAACTGATTCCTTTGCCATACAAGCAGATGACACTACCGATGTTTCATGTAAATGCCAGCTGTCATTCTCCGAATCATGACGGAACCAGGCTGGGATCGCTCAGGCCATGGCACTCAAACAGAAATTGCAGGATTTCAAGTTCATGTTTCTGCTTGATGTTTTCCGAGCAATTTTTGGACATACCGATGTTTTGTTCCAGGTTCTCCAAGCTAGATCGCTTGATTTGAGACGGTCGTTTGACTACATAGATTCGACCCTTAAATCACTGAAAGCACTTCGTACTGACAAAACATTCCAAGAAGTGTATGACAACACTGTCCGTGCTGTTGGGCACGAGGATGGCCGAAGGAAGCGGCGCCGCCGCGGCTGGCGAGACTATGAGGAAGGATTTCACTGCAGCGAGCAGGGTGAAGATCCAAGCGTCACTGACTCTTATCGATCTCTGTTCTATGAAATTATGGATGCAGTTATATGTCAGATGACAGAGAGATTTAGTGATATGAAAAGTCTGAATTTTTTTCGACTTCTGGACTTTTCAGCATTTGCGGATTTTGCTAAACCAAAGGGGTTTCCTGATGCAGAACTGGCCTCACTTTTAAAAGTGTACCCCCCTTCTTTGACAGTTGGAGGTTGAAAAATGAACTGCTTGTGGTCTATGAAGAGAAGCGTTTCCATAAAGCACCGAGCGACTTGCTTCAGATGATCATACAGTACGATTTGCATAGCACCCTGCCAGAACTGTTCAGATTGCTTAAGTTGATGCTAACAATTCCTGTAACAACTGTGTCTGCTGAAAGGTCTTTCTCTGGCCTGAAGAGGGTGGACAAGAAAGACTGTCACACTTGGCAACAATTTCTCTGGAGTCAGCCTTAATTGATGAATTAAAGACGACAGGTGTATTCTACGACAGAGTCATAGACACATTTGCCGCTAAGAAGGACAGGAGGATGGATTTTTTCTTCAAGTAATAGGTAAGTACAATTTTAAATATATTGTTTTGCTGTATACGTACAATGTCGTTTTCCTACATAAACATAGCCAAAAGCAGGCTTTTATTAAGCAGTTTAAAAAAAAAAACGCCTCAGGGAGGGGACTACAATTTAGTGTGCCTCCTCTATTTTAATATCCACGAGCCGCCACTGCCTAGAGCAAACCACTCACTACATTCCAACATAAGTAACACTCAAAACACTAATGCAATTGTAAAGCAACCACCTAGCAACGCCCTAAAACAAACCACTCAATACAAACCACCATGATAAAAAAACACTCAGAATACTATAGCAACCACATAGCAACACTGGCAACATAACAATGCCCTGGCAACAGAGTAGCAACTGTGTAACACTCTAAACTAAGAATACTCCAGCTAAAAACATAGAAAATCCTTAGAAACCTACCAGAATACGTAAACAACCACCTAACAACTATTTGGTTAACCAACTATGCTCAAAACACTCAGAACACCTTAGCAACACCTTAGCAACCACTCACAACACTCAAACAACTACATAGCAATGTACTGAAACCACTAAGAACACCTGATCCACCATCCAGAACACCCTAGCAATGTGAAACATTACTAAGATAACTTTAGTAACCGTATAGCAACATTTTAGCAAACACTCAGAACACCTTAGCAACTGCATAGTAATGCTCTAGAAACCACTCAGAATACCCCAGCAACCACCTAGAAATGCTTTAGCAACCAGCCAGAACATGTAAAGAACCACCTAGCAACGCCCTAACAACTTCTTTGTTAACCTACATCGCCAAGAACACTCACAACACCCTAACAACCACATGACAATGCCCTGGCAACAGAGTAGCAACTATGTAACATGCTAAATCACTCAGAATACCCCAGCAACTACATAGAAACCAGCTAGAACACGTAACCAACAACCTTACAACGCCCTAACAACTTCTTTGTTAACTGACTGTGCTAAAACACACACACAACACCCTAGCAACCACATGACAATGCCATGGCAAAAAGATTAGCAACTGCGTAACACCCTAAACCACTCAAAAAAACACCCAAGCATTTTAATGGTGAGCTTTGCAAGCTAAGACAAAACATTTAAAGTTTCTTTATAATATATGAAAATTTAGTCTAAAGATAAAAAGCTAAGTATTTTTGATAAGAATGTTACACTGAGACGTACTGAGGTTCAGAATGGCTCACAGTAATATATTTGGGGGGAGTGAGCTGAGCTGAGGGCCGGTAATCAGACAGACGGCTCTGAGAGCACACACTCATGCTCTCCACGCTGCACTGTAATGGAGGAAAGCGATGCAAGAGCAGGATCCTCTCCAAGCCGACGGCGACACACACGCAACGCAGGTGACCCTGGACACGCCGTAAATTGGAGGAATGAATGAGGAGCGGCGGAGAAAACCCTTGGCCTCTCCGAAGCCGCACTCCCGCAAAATGACACCCACTTAATTTACGAGCAATAATGATTTTCAAAAGGTGGCGGTCCGGCACCCTCTCCCAGGAGGGTTATTGCAAATTGGACGTGATCCATCAAAACTGCAGCTTGTAAATCTATTTTTACAAACGGAGTATCATGGGGAGGTGAGAGAGGCGACTGCTTACTACGAATACGCAGCATAATTGATGTGCTGCCCCTGAGCTGGCGAGAGAGAAGGATGATGAAGACGTTACTGACAAAGATGTAGAAAGTTATATTTTAATTAAAATGATCACCATGCCCCTGGCCTTTACTCCACTTGGTAAAAAAATAAATAAATAAAATATCTACTTTTGTTTGCTGAAGGGCAGAGGCAATTACAAACCTGCCCGGATAATAAATCTCTTTTATGGGCTATGAGACCCCTGTAACCCTGTGGTTTCATTATGATCTCGTACTGAAGGCCACGGCTCCCTGGACTTCCACCATTACCCATAATCACCTTCCTAAACACTCAGACAGGCAAAAAGAATAGCACTGAACCATCTCACACAGTCTCCTGTGTGTCTGTGCTTGCAATCGGCTGGAAGAAGCTGGATTTCTCAAAACTACGCAGTGCAGCTAACACTCAGACTCAGTCATACCTACAGAAACTTTGTGTTTGTGGGGTTTAAAAGACAATTTATATTCAGCAACATTTTTTTAACTGCAACATTTTTTCAGCAATATTTTTTTAATCAGATGAGAACAAAATCTGAATTGAGCTGAATAATGACACTATGCAACATTGACAGTTATTGAATTGAACTGAATCAACACTGAACTAAATTGATCTGAATAATGACACTATTGTGTTCTGTACTTCTGCTTTACAGCTTAAATTGAATTTGTTTCATAATTGATGAATTTTACAACATTAACACTGTTATTTTGTGTATTCGAACTATAGACCTGTTTCAAAATGGCCTTTTCTCTCAAAACTGCTGGACAAAGCTATTCTTATTCAGCTGTTTTTTTTTTTTTTAATAAGAACTCAATTTTCAAAGTATATCTCTCTTTTGTTTAGAGAGTATCATAGCACAGAATCTTCATTTTTAAAGACTCTTAATTATGTCTTGTTAACTGTAGACACTGGGGATGCTGCAATTCTGGGGATAATAGCATTTGAGACTATAGACCATAAAATTCTTATTGCACAGCTTGAACGATTGGTAGGGATTCGAGGTATTGTTTTAAATTGATGTAAGTCCTATTTAACTAATAAAAGTTTTACAGTTAGCTTAGGTGAATTTGTATCATCTTCAGCCCCTTTTACATGTGGGGTTCCACAAGGATCTATTTTGGGACCTATTATGTTTTCACTATATATATATATATATATTTATATATTTATATATATG